TGCCAAGGAGAGCCTTTGAGAGGCCGGTGGCATAAAACAGTGTTTCATCCTAGCCCTGGGGTGTTTTCTTTGTCGCGTTCAGAAGCGACAGTGCGTTCCGAGGCCGATTAGCCATCCGCCCCCATTCAGCAGAACATGGGTTGGCCTTGGTCTCATTCGCATCCCGCTGGTGTCTGCCAGACCGAGGGCTCTTCGCCAGCCCAAAACTGCCTTTGTCCGAACCTGTGCTGTCCCTCTCCTGTCCCCCGGGGAAAGTTCAGCCCCTGACTCGAAGCAGGCTGCTGCTCCACTGAGTGGTTACCGCCCTGTACTTTATAGACCTTTCCTGGGCTGCGTCTTCGTGTCTTAATTTCTGTGGTTTAGGCTGCTCGTTAGACAGTTAAGTGTGCTGCTTATCTTAGAATGTCATTTATATAAATACATGAAATCTGTATCTTGTGACATGAGTTATTCTTGAACACTTAGTGAAAAAAGCAATTCCTGTTTGTTTTTTATTTTTCTTACAGTTGCACGTAATATAAAGTTTAATCTATATATAGTTTATATATAGTAATATTATATATCACTATTGTAATATATATAGCTTACGTAATATATAGTTTACATAAGTAAACTAGGGTATTCAAATCCATTTTTCACAATACTTTTTTTGGTCTTCTGCCTCTGATGACATGCGTACACAGATCCTACAGCTACAGCATTAGAGAGTTGCTGCCAGCATGGTGTTCTCTTAATCCTGTGTACTCCATATGGCTCTACAGACCCAAAATAATTTGGCTGTGATAAATGTTTAGGGGCTTCCTTAATTCTTTTATTAAATAATGTCTGTGAGAGATGGGAGATAAAAATACTTTTCTTCTATAGGAAGCTCTAATTACAGAAGAGTTCCTATTTCCTGTTTATTTTTAAGTGTTAGAGAAGAGTTAATTTTTCGTACTGCAAAAGACAGTATTCAAGTGTGGCAGTTAGCTCTCGAATAGCTAGTTGTAGATACATAGAGAAGGTAAGTATTTCAGTTTATGCCCTTGAAGCATCCTTTGAAGTTAGGGGTGCTTCATTTTCTAATGAAGAAAATAAGGTGTGGTGTGATAAAGTTACTTGCCCATTATTGCGTGGAAAATCTTTGAGCCAGAGGTAGAGTTACTCATTTAGTACTCTTAAAAGAAATAAAGGTGGACTGGCAATTTTGGGTTCTTAATTGTCTGATTTTTCTTCATCATAATGTGAAAACTGGAAAGGTGCTTTTTCTTAAGTATGTTTTTAATTTGTTTAATTTCTAGGTTAAAGTGAAAATACCTTTTGGAAACAAACATCTTGATGCTGCCTTTTCTGTGCCAGTGAAGAAACCAGCGTATGGAGTGATTCTTACCCATGGAGCTGGAGGAGATATGAATTTCCCTCACTTGGTGTCTTTGGCAGCCTGTCTTGCATCCCATGGAGTTCTGTGCCTGCGGTTCACTTGTAAAGGCCTTAATGTTGCTTACAGGACTAAGGCCTTCAAAGCAGTTGTGGTAAGAATGCTGCCCAAGCTTAGATCCGTGGCTGTCATCTTCGGCGTGTCTTGAACTACTCAAGCCATGGTGGGAAAATCAGACATGATGGTTAGCTACATGGAGCACTGCCTGTGAACAGAAAGAGCAGGAGGGATATTTCTGTGGGTAGGCCGTAGCTGGAACATGTCGTGGTTTAACTGCAGCTAGCAAAATACCACGAATGGGTTTGCCTTTGCCCGAGGCAGGAATAACCCAGACTGTTTTTCCCAGCATATTTTTAACATGCACCACAGGGACTTTGTCTCCTTCCACAGTGCGTAGAAGTGCTCACATAAAGGTGAGCTGTTTATGGCTCGGTGGGCCCATGACACCTCAGGTCACCAGGAACACAGCTTTCTAGCAGCCACAGTAAGAGAGTTAACCCTTTCCTGGCTGAACTTGCTGCAGCAAGTATGTGGGCTTGGGTTCAGGGAGAGTAAGGAAAGCTTGAGGAAAGGATGTGAAGAAAGCAGGGATGTTTTCAAGCTTGAAAAAACTGAAGTATTTAGGGTGGAAACAAGCGGTAGGTGTTCTGGGAGGGCTTGGGGAGGGGAGAGGGATTAAGGGATTAAGTTTTGGAGGTGGTTTTGAGAGGAAAGAAGCTGACCTGGGAGTTGTGCTGGGTCTCTGATGGTTGGCAGCTGGTACAACAATACTTTGGGGACAGAGTAGGGGACTGGGTCTCAGGAGGAGTTGAAGCAGGAGAGGTTGGGTGTAGCATGTGAGAGCCTTAGAACCTAGAGTTTGATTTCAAAATCAGTTTAAACAGTTACATGCATGTGCTTCTCTCTGCTGCTGCTACGTTATTTAGGATGTTCTTATGTACCTGGGTTTTGTTACAACGAGCAACCATTCCTTATAATGGTATCAGCTGGGAGTAGCTTCCTATTCTGGAGCGTGTAGGAAGGAGTGGAAATTTTCTCCTGATCATCTAGCTGCTTTACTGGGGCACGGGAAGGCAGCTTGAGCTCTTCACATTGAGCGTCAGATGTTGTTGTAGGGGAACTAAGTCCAGTTCTTAAGCAAGTGTCTCCAGTTCTGAGACCTAATGTGAAGTTGTTTGTTTATTATGTTGTTGGTGCAAAAGGTTACAAAATCACTTGTGTGACGAGAGCAACCTGTGTGTATCTGTTCTTGGTTTAACCTGCAGTGCTGAAGGAGCTTCCCATTTTCTGTTTAGTAGCTACAAACAAACAAACAAAAAAATCCCCAGCCTTCGTAGTTCTGATTTGTAATGCTTCTCTTTATCTTGTTTCTTCAGGAATACTTGAGGCTTTCTGAAGATTATAAACTTTCGGGCATCTTCCTTGCAGGTACTGTTTTTATTATCTGTAATTTTCTCTCCCAGACTGCCTCTTGTGACAGCAGTCTGTAATTACTCTATTTTTGAAGTCTGTCCCACGTTGGTTGGAGGTGAAGGAACAGATACGGGTGGCAGGTGTCGGTCTGAGGTGGGCACTAAGAGCTTGCTGTCTGAGGTGGTCGATGGCTCAGTGTCCGAGTGGAGGTCGGTGACGAGCGGCGTTCCTCAGGGGTCGGTGTTGGGACCCGTGCTGTACCTGAAGGGGGCCTACAGGAAAGCTGGGGGGGACTTTTTACAAGGGCCTGTAGTGACAGGACAAGGGGTAATGGGTTTAAATTGAAAGCGTGGAGGTTTAGGTTGGATATCAGGAAGAAAAAATTCTTCCCGGAGAGGGTGGGGAAGCACTGGCACAGGTTGCCCAGAGAAGCTGTGGATGCCCCATCCCGGGAAGTGTTCAAGGCCAGGCTGGATGAGGCTTTGAGCCACCTGGTCTAGTGGAAGGTGTCCCTGCCCATGGCAGGGGGGTTGGAACTAGGTGATCTTTAAGGTCCCTTCCAACCCAAACCATTCTGTGATTCTATAAGCTGAATCAACTCCCACTAGTCGGTGCTGCCTAGGTACAGCAGTGTGGCTACCTGCTGACAGTTGGCTGCTCTGTAACGCTAATTAATTAGCAGTCCGCCAACTGCCGCGGGGACGTGGGCGCCACTTACAGATCGGCGTTGGGTCTCTTAACCTGGAGCTGAACGCTACCAGCTGCGCCGGGCGGGCGGCTCGGCTTCCTCGCCGGTGGCTTGGGCAGCGTTGCTGCTCGACTTGCAAATGGGAACATCCAGCCTGCCGCTTTCAGTGGACACTCTTGGGAGCGTGGCTGTCCGGAGCTATTCACTCTCCTCGTGATGCCACAGATCTTGCTCGAGAAGGAGGAAGGGAAGAGCAACAGGCCAAGTTTTCCAGGTACTCTGGGAGAAGGCTTCCTTGTCACTTAAAAGTGACAGGGTGTAAGTTCTCCGATAATCCAGGTGTACGTTTTCACTGCAGGTCTGGAAGAATTGTTACTGGTAAATGGAAAACCATTTCCCAAAGCAGGTTTTGGTGGATAAAACCGAGCGGCAGACAGAAAACCAGTTATATTATGTGACAAAGGGAAGTAGTGGATGTGATTAGGAATGACTTGATACGGGAAACCCTGAATGTTCTCTGACTAAGTGAAACCAAATCTGCGCTGATGCAAGTTAATCCCACTGGAATCAGCCACTTGTAACACTCAATTACAGAGCGTTGTCAGCTCCTAGGTCTCCTCTTCTTCGAGGAGATATTTTGATATCCCCTTGCTGTTACTGACTGACCTCGTGCTACAAGTTCACACTTCATTATTTCCCCCCAACCCCCCCCGCCTTCTACTTTTACTTTTAGGCTGAAGTTTGCCGTGTGCATAACCACTTGCCGGATTTGTTTTGGGAGCGAGGCACGTAAAACTTTGGGTTTAATTTGAGCAGATTATGGTTGCTTAAAAAAAACCCAAACCGCCAAGATAATACCATTGCTGTCTCAAATTTCAAGGGTCTGGAGGACAGGGCCTGTCCCAGTCTTCGCCCTGCCCCAGGATGGGCTGTTGTTCCTTCCAGTACTGTAAAGGATCCCTCTCCGTTTATCTTCTTTTTTCCCTCCCTTCTTTTTAAATGGGGATGGGAAATCATAATATAAGACAAATATTGTAGAAAATATTGAAATTAGGATTAATATTTTTGATGGATTAGATAAATAAAAGCATCCCTAGCATTTTGTACTGCTGGTACGCTGAAATGCAGCCAGCTGGATTGGTTTTAGGTGTTGTTTCCTCAAACAGAATGTGGATGAGGTGACGACAGGTAACTTTTTCCCTTTATTTTCTCATGGGAGAAAGGCCGTTCCATGGGCTCACGAGCTGCTGCCTCCATGACACGTCAGCTTAGCCAGGAGGATGATGACGACTTCGTTCGAGGTCTAATATGTTTGTCTTACCCGTTGCATCGACCAAAACTTCAGTCCAAGCTCCGGGATGAAGATTTATTATTTATCAGGTGCCCAGTGCTGTTTGTCTCAGGATCAGCAGATGAGATGTGTGAAAAAGTGAGTACCCTTGTAAATCCCGCTATGAAGGGGCAGTGGGGAGGAGTAGGGGTGAGTCGGTGGCGTCTGTACTGACACATGCAGCTGTGCCTTTGATTAACAGCCTTCTCTAAATATATATATAATATGCATATCTTCTGAAGGAAGCCTTGGGTAGGAAACTTCATCGGACATAAGGAAGCCTGGTGGGGCTTTCTTTTGCTGCATAAAACTTCTAGATCACGCTTGATCACGCACTTCAGCAAACTCCTCTCTGGGCCACTAAAATACTGCCAAAATACTGCAGAGATGAGAAGGCAGTGGGTTTCTGCCTCGCTTTCTGGCAAACAGGTGTCTGTTCTTCTTGAACAGTTCAGCTTGAATTTGGGAGTGTGTCCAATTGGCCTTTTCCATGCTCGGGCTGTTTCTAAGGAGGCATGATGCTTTGGTGAGGAGTTGTCACCAAACTTAGTCAGGCTGGCAACCAGCAGGTCCTCCGAGTCCGAGCTGGATCTCGGATACGTTTGCTGCGGAACTTGCATGGAGTCACAGCCAGTCTCTAGGGAATTATGTTGCTGCTCTGCCACCGGAGACAAACCTGACTTTGGAAGTTTTCTGGCTTTATTGCTAGTACTACCCTCTGACAGTAAGAGCGGATTCCTTCATCAGCATGGGGAAGGAGCTTTCCCAGGGTTGTGACCTTTGCAGTTGTGAAGTTCCAATTTTCTGCTATTCGGTGTCTTGAGTGAGGGCGAACCTCTGAGCAAATCCCACTGCTGAATGCAGTACCATCACATCCTTTCTGTCGGGGTGTTTCCAAGGTGCACACAGATCCGCTTTGGTTTTGGAGAGCTGCCTGTTGGGTGTTGCACAGGGCAAAGCGAGAGGCACCTGCGAGCGGCAGAGTTGGAGGCAGCTGATTCTCTAACCTTTTCATTCTTATGTTCCCCGTAGCGACTGCTGGAAGGTGTGGCAAGGAAAATGAGAGCCCCCACAGAAATCCACTGGGTTCATAAAGCAAACCATGGGATGGCAGTCAAGGGACGAACAGCAGACGATGTCATGGAAGAAATAAATGGCCACGTTTTTTCATGGCTTAGAGAGAATATTGGACTGGAGGCCAAATGATTTGCAGTGTTTAAGCAGTATCTTCATTTTGCTTTTCCTAAATGCAGCAAATTAGGAGTTTGTTATTTCTGAGAGGCAATTATTTTTTAATACACGTATTTTCAGAGGTCTAAGTGTAAATTGAAATAAAACCTTTTTTTTGTATGAATGAAGGTAATAAGGAAGGACAAAATTTACAAAACATTTAACCTCATGTCAGCATTGTTTTCTGTGTTTCTGTGTAAATACCTACAACACAGTAACACAGAGCACTAAGTACCTGCTTTTGACTAATATTTGAAGTAATTTATTGGAAAAACCCACTATTTTGACACCAAATCTCTAGGTGCCTTTCATTTCCGAGTATAATGCTGACGGCGTACTTGTATGAAATTAAAAACTCCCGCTCTGTAGAATTCTGTGAGCACATCCCCCGGGGGCTGGCAAGTGGTACTGCTCTGTTGTGGGGCCATGCCCCGGTGCTCCACCCCTCTTCTGTGCAGGGAGGGGATTCTCTCATCGTTTACAACATCACTTCCCTACGGAGCCGGATTCTTGGCCTGTGTGGGGAGGAGGAGGAGGAAATGCAGGCACAGTTGTGCATGAGGAGCAAAGAAGAGTTTTGAACAGTCGCCCTCCAGCAAATTCCCGTGGGTGAAGGACTGATCCCAGAGGCCCTTTGCAGAGACGGACATGGAAGACTACTAAATAAACACTGGTAAAAGACAACTCGTGTTTACACGGGTGGAGGAGCTCCCGGAGGAGGAAGTGGGTGTCATGTGCAAAAGGCTTCCATCAGGAGGGCTCAGAAGAGGCAGGTGGGGGTCTGAACCTCATTTCCCATTAGCAGAAGGGACTCGTATAGGCTGCAAGTAACCCGTTGGAATAACCATGGGTTGTAGCAATATATTACTTATTTTCAGCCCAATTGTCAGCAAATACCAGCTGAATGATGACCTCTGAGATGAACTGGCTGTTTGGTCCTGAAAAGAACATCTTGATGTGGACTCCCAAGACGGTGATCTCAGAGAATCACAGAATGGTTTGGGTTGGAAGGGACCTTACAGACCATCTAGTTCCAACCCCCCTGCCATGGGCAGGGACACCTTCCACTAGACCAGGTTGCTCAAAGCCTCATCCAGCCTGGCCTTGAACACTTCCAGGGATGGGGCATCCACAGCTTCTCTGGGCAACCTGTTCCAGTGCCTCACCACCCCATGGATCATTTTCAGATGATGTTGATATGCTGAAAAGTAAGAGTTGAATTACTTAATATCAGTGGAAAGCAGCTATTTTAAAAATAGAATGGTCGTTGGAAACAATGATCAGTTCAATCTCATTAGTGACTGCTCAGTGTTAGTTGATTATTTTCATATTGCCAAAGAGACTGAGCTTCACAGGCAAAGCATCCGTGAAAAATTGTGTGGAACTTAAAACTTTTAATATTCCCAGTGTCCAATAGCACTGTGGTTTTTCCTTCAAGTCAAAAAGGTATGTTCTCACCCCACATTGTCATCTTTGAGAATACCGATTCTCTCGGAAGGAACAGTTACAGTTTGCAAACGACGACTCTGGATTGATACCTGGGGTGAGGGTGTTGTATTAGACATTTAATTAAAGAAAATGTGACTTGTAATTGGAAGAGAAAAAAACTTGGTGGCTGCTCGACTCCCTGCGTAGCCGCCATCCTATTTAATTATTCACTAACTGTTAAAATAGAGGAGTAGCTACGCAGTGTGGCACTGCTGGTGAGCAAGATACTCCTGTCAGGAAGAATGAAGAACTCTGTGTTTGGTCAGCAAACCCCAAAGAACCGACGGGAGCTGCCAAGGCCGGAGAAGTAGGTAAAAAGTAATTCCCACAGGGAGAGATTGTGACCAAAACGAACTTGGAAATGCCTCTGCTGTGTGTTACTGGTGTGCACACCGGGCGAAGAACCCAGACTGGGGACAAGGGGGCAGATTTCCGATTCCTCTCTGCCCTTTTTTTGCAGAACACGTGTGCGAACAGACTCAGCATAACGAGCGTCAGTAAGAAGTACCTGCATTTCCAAGGTGTCTCAGGACACAGTAACACGTGACTGATACAAACATGGGTTTTATTTAAAAACAATTGTAAAAGTGTTTTTGAACAAGGCTCTGCAACCACTGCATGATAAAGAAGAAACAGGGGATGCTTGGTTTTCTTCCATCTGTAGGTCACGATACAGTAAATAACACCCACGGACATAATCCACCAGCAGTTTAATCCAAATTTTTCCCTTTCCTTCTGACGAGAGTCTGAATGTAGGTAAATATTCAAAAGATTATTTTATTTCTTTCTGTCAGAGTTCATCTTTGGCCTGCAGGCAAGAAAGAAGAAACATTTTCAATTAATTAGGAACTCAATTTGAACTGTCTAGTCCTGCAAGCACACTAAGAAACATTTCTCAGTCCAACGGGCGTTTATTGACGGACACCGTGGACTATGGAGCGGTGCCTGTTCCGATGGGACCGAGTAAGAACGGAAGACATCCAGCGCTTCACGCTGGATGTCCTGTACCTGTTTTCTGTGGCAAGTACACGGGAAGAGGTCATCATCAGGCTGCTGCACTCTCTCCATCCCTTCTCTGATTTTTGGCTCACTCACTTGCAAGCCAGCATATTCCTAGTTTCAAAAAAAGGAAGGTACTGTTAATTAGTGAACTTTAGTCAGATTGTACATCCGGCTGCAATTACTGCACCAACTCAGCCGGGTAACTCTGTAAAAGCTCTGGGGAGACGCAGTCCCTTACTCCGTGCCGTGCCACAGACGGAGTAAGCGGATACTTCATCGCAGACAGGAGCCCCTGGCGGCGGCCTCGCTGGAGTTTCACTACCTTGGTGCTAATGCACAGCTATTTTCAGCTGTGGTTCACAGGGTGTGTGTCTGATGTGGAATTCTTTGATCACTGGGGGCAACATATTCCTGCAGATTAGATCAAGATTTATGGGATCCAATTGCCTCTCTCCAAGCGCCAGCCTAGTCTTAAGGGGTTTTCAGAGGAAATAACCACATGCAGTGTTAGGAAAACACTGCAAATTAGGAGTTCCTAATTGCTGCTGCTTGCTGCGCGGCTTCAAGTACTGGGGTGTCCTGTTTCCAGCAGCTCCGTTGCCCTGAATTCTTCCTGTGGGATTTCTATTTTTGCGGTAGTAGCCATTAAAAATATACTCACCTGGAAAAGTTTGAAATAGTAACAAAAAATGTGGTCTCCCATGAGATTGTTTCTTGCAAATTCTTGTCCAGATTTGGCAATGTTTTTTGCCTGTCAGAGAAAATCAAAGGGTTTTTTTTTAAATTGTCAAAAAAACAGTAGTTATTTCAGGTTGCCAGTACTGACTCTGGAGTAATGTACAGTGCTGACAGTTTAGGATGACTTATTTATTTTTATTTAAACATTCTTCATTTTAAAAATAAGGCATTCTTAAGAAAATAAACCTGCTTTTTCCAAAGTTCAATGTGATTTAAGAAAATACATAAAACTGCCCTTAATTTGAAAGGTTTTTTTATTTGTAGCGCTGGTGACACTAATTTTTAAGTCCTTCTAATAAGTTGTTTCTTGTTTTAAAGAAATTTACTTTTTGCTCTACTCTGTCTAGGAACGTTCCCGAACGCTTCCGAGCGCATGTTTACCTCTTCGTCGTGCTCTTTCGCCCACTGCAGTTTTTCCAGTAGATCGCTCAGGTCACTTTTAAACGGAATATAATGTTTCCAGGGCTGCAGCTCGTTATAAAAATGCTCATAGTAGATGGAGTCTTGCTTTAGTACCACACTGTTTCCCGCCAGTAGATAAGGCAGTCTGTATGCTGCCACTGTGCCATCGATATTAATTTGGTATTTATACTGGAAAGAAAATGAGCCGAAGTTATTAACAAGCAGGAGATCCAAGCAGCTTGGTTAGGTTGTATTATTCTGAGGGCACTGGTATTACTGACTTGCCGATATCGAGAAATGTAGGATTGGCTAGGCAAGCATCAGTGTTTAGGTAGCTTTTATTATTTAGTTTGGAATTCATCACAGTGCGGGGTACAGAGAGATGCCCTCTTCATCAATTAAGTTCTCCGGACATTCTTAGACGCTCATCCTCGGATGCGAGGGTAGATGTGCCACTTCCTCCACCGATTTTCCCGCTATGTTAGTTATGTTAGTAGTCCTGATCGCTGAATCAGGAAAAAAGAAATAAAAAGGAACTTGGAGTTACATAGGTTGCACGAGGTTCTACAGAACCTTTAGAAGTAAATCAAACATCGTTATCCTCAGCGTAGGAGCTACAACTGCAGCTAATCCCACTGCAGGGATGCCTCATCACGCTTGTTCCTGCAGCTGTGCCGGAAAACTAAAAATCGCTGTATTATCAATAATCTATACAGAGGTATTCGATAACGGGGGACGCCGAGAACCTAGTTCTGTAAAAACTGGCTCCTGGCTTACCTTAAAAAAATCAAAGAACGAAATGTGCTTAACAATGGGGCCATAGAGGCTTTCATCATGTTTAAAAAAAAAGAAGTTTGTGAAAGCAGCATCTATGATCTCTGGGTGCTTTCTGCTGAGTTTTACAAGTTCAAGCCTTTCTTTGCGGCTGTCACGTCCTCTCCAGAATGCTGTGGTGTTCTTGTCTTCCCAAGCTGGGCCAGTGTTTGCTTGAACTGACATCATATCCAGACTGACTCTGGAGGAGAAAGAAGGGATTTAACAGTGAAGCTACTTGGAACTTTTTAAAGTGCAATTGCTTCAAAGAGTTTATGGCACCAACAGGCAAAAACCAAGGATGGAGGCAAGTCACGCGCACACCCGCACAGGTACTGCGTCGGTATTTTGGAATGACAGAAACAGGTAAGGCATGTCCAGTTCACGGGGCTGCAGCGAGACAGCATCGGCTCAACAACATGGCGTGTGGAGAGAGTACCTGCCAGTTGTCATGGAAAAACGTAGCTGGAAGTGGGTACGGTTGCCAGAGAGATGAAGGCAACACAGGGTAATGCAATAGCTGATAACGGCAGTCCAAAGCAAGGTTTTCATGTAACTAGCTTAATACAACATACTCCTCTTCCTTTGATAAATTAAAACACATAAACTGGGGGGAGGGGGAGCAAATTTAGGAAAAGTATTGATAATAAAGACAAGGAACCCAAACTGAGTGCAGTGAAATGA